GTTAACGATCAATTAACGAATTTTCAATTAACGACTACAATCAAACACTACAATTCCTCCTTGAAAATGTAAAGAATTCTCGTCGACTCTTCATCTCTGTAAAATGCATCATTACCACCCCATTCTAATCGATCTGCTATAAAGTCTCCCCACTTCCATGCTTACAATTTCTGCCGTATACCTCGCAAGTTTTGCGTAATTAACAAACGAAACGATCGATCATCAAGCACGTTTGACACTCACCAACGGCGGTGTGATCGGCGATAGCGTAAGTGTGGCTGTTCGTGTGAATATGCTTCGTTTGTGATACCATTTCAATGATGTTCCTGGCCACATTCATCGATTGATCATCGATTAATACTATGTCGTAACCGTTCAGAAAATTCTCCAACAATGAATCAACGTTGAAATTCAAGAAACCAATCTTAAGCGCCACGGTTTCACCCTCTACTCCAACGTCCATATTCAGATCTGAATGCAATAGCTGAATAAATGTTTGACTCAAAAATATGCTGCAGAAAACTGAATATCTGCAGTGTTGACGAAAAGTGAGTTCGAATCGAATCGCAGTTCATTGTCAACACAAAATCAACCGTTTCTTTGAATAATTGCTCATCCACAGCGTATTTGAATGAGATAACTGAATCATTCAAAACAACAATATAGAAGCGAGAATTATCCAACATTTTCGGAGATCACAAAACATGAAAGAACTTCATGAAGTGAATGAACTATGAAGATCATTCATGGTTTGATTTAAGCTTGCTCATCTCAAAAAAAAATTGGAAAATTCAAGTGGATTGAAACGATTCAAATCAACTTCAAACAAAGTTTATCAAGTCAACTGACTGATGAACAATTGCAATCAACTGTTTGAAAATGCGCACCTCCGAGACTATCGCCCATCAACAAGACATTCGTACGAAGGGCCACATCGCTATAGAACGAACGTTTGCGTCCAATCACTGAACCGTTCTTACAGAACGTATGAATAAGCGGTTCCCTAAAACCATTCACAACTCCCAATTCGTCAAAATCCTGAAATAACGTAAATGAAAAACGCATTATCCAGATGGCTGATCTTAAATAAACGAGAATCTGATGTGGTTTTTTAAATGATTGATCAATCTTCGACGAAAAATTTCTATTGTTCTTTTGAGTTGATGCAATAATTTTCGCTGGCAAAGTCGGAGACATGCAACATACCATCATATTCGAGATGAGATGCACATTTCGGGGTTTTTTCCCCAATCGTTTCTTCAAGTAGATATCGATAACGTTTCCGATACCGGCCGAAAAGATTATCAACGGAACGTCGTTTTCACTCAGATCTAATATCATCTCGTCCGCTTCATCTCTGCAAAACAGGAAACAACTTTGTGAAATACACAGCAACATGGCCATTTCAGAAGGCGCAAACTCTTCGGAATCTCCATTGAATTCTGTGGAATTTAGCGGAAAAGCTGAAAAAATTATTGGAACAATCGGACATATTTCGTAAAGAGCGACGACGATGCATCATCGTAAACTGACCGTAATTCAATTTTCGATGCTTCAACGAAACGTTCAATCGCTTGATATGTAAATTTCGCATTGACAATATGTTGGTGTGCTGATCTCCACCTGAATACAAAAAAATAAAATCCAATGTTTTTGTAACACACACGATGCCAA